TAATTATATAATTTATTGAGATAAACATGTAAGTAATATATAATTAATAAAATTTGACGGTGTGATTAATTATATATTTATCTCAAAAAATTCTATATCATTTACGTGTATATATAATATATAATATACATATATTAAATTAGTAAAAAGCCTGCACTTAATTAGTCATTTGTATAAATAATTAATAGTGTTTAATGATGTGGCTTAATATAACAATCTATATATTAATACTAACAAAAAATACATATTAGTAGATATTTTTTTAAAAAAATCACGAAATTATACAAAAATTGGCGGGAAAATTGGGAAACATTTCTACGATCCAAAATGTTCAGATGCAGAAGCACGACATTTCATCTCTAATACGAGCCGTTGCTTTTGGAACGTGAAGCCAAGATGAGAAGCCCTAATCGTCCGATGAGGATAACTAGGTTGACACATCATCACCCACAATCCAGGTTAGCACACTGGATCATTCCCAAGTCCTACCCTAATTCTCTGCTTTCTTTTGTCTTCTTCCTTCGATTTCGCCCTTTGTACAAAAAGGAATGTATACAGTAGACAGAAACCCTAACTAATTCGCTCTTCTCGATCAGTTTTAATTCTTCTAACGATCACAATCCACTCAATTCAGTTGGCTTACGTTATTTGATAATTTTTTGTTGCTTTTTCTTGGAGCTTCGCTTTGGGCGTTTTAATGGCCGCTGAGGATGGCAGTGAAAGCCCGGGACCGGGCGAAACGAAGAAGGGAAAGTCCAAGACCCCCAGAAAGGCCAAGGAGAATCTCCTCAAGCAAAGTGCGAGCCGTCTTTTTCTCGATGTAAATATATCTATTTATTCACGTATGTGTAATTTAAGCTAGAGGTATTTTTGCTTCCTGCAGAATCTCCAGCTGAGTTCTTCGCGGAGAATAAGAACATCGCAGGGTTCGATAACGTGAGTTCATTTTTTCTACTAGATGCTTTGAGATATACAATGACATTGTCAATTATAGAAGGATGAGTTGAAATTTTGCTTGGAATCATGCGAAATTTTTATCTACCTGTATGAAGTTTTGCAAACTTTTAGTCCAGAGTGTAGGTTATACTCAATTTTCAGTTCCTTTCAGTGAGTTCCTAATGATTTTGGCTGCTCTGTGGAAAGTGAGTTCTGGGAGGAGAAAATTAGGCAACTGAATTCCGAAACTGAAATTTGGTTATGGGAATTGATTATCTGTTTTTTATTATAGTTGTTTTTTGTGTTTCTTCCTCTGGTTAAATTCATGTTTAATATTTCTGGCTTTCAGCCTGGGAAATGCCTTTATACTACTGTGAGAGAACTTGTAGAAAATGCACTTGACTCAGCAGAATCCATATCTGAACTTCCTGTTGTGGAGATAACAATGTAAGTTCTTTGTTTAGACAAATCGGAATCATACATAAATGAAACTATCTTTTTATTTAATTGATTAAAAAAGAAAATCTAACATGCACAAGGTGCATGAGGGATAGCCTGTTTTTTTTTATTTTCAGCAACTTCTTTTCTCAAAGAATGAAGACGCCTAGAGAAGTTTCTGTTTCTTAGTTATTGTGGATTTGCTCCAGAAATATAAAATGAATCTATAGATAATTGCACTTTTCCCTTTTTGATCATACTGCCCTTTTGAAGTGAAGAGATCGGGAAAGCCAAATTCAATTCCATGATTGGTCTTGTTGATCGGGAGCGTATTGATGAGAAACTGTATGATGACTATGAGACAGAAAAGGCTCGTGAGGTGTGTTGATATTAATTCTTCTAAGTTCTTTTTCTGTTTGGTTTGGTTTGGTTTGTTGTTTTCTGAATATAATATGGATGGATGAAAAACTTGTCTTTTCGCAAGCTTCCTTCTTGATCAATTTGCATGTTGTTAATTTTTATGTGAACCTCAATTTCATTTCTTGTGATTAATTATTACGATGTAGAAAAGATTAGCGAAGGAAGCTCGTGCTCAAGAAATACAAGCAAGGAATGCTGCCCTGGGGAAGAAAGTCAAAGAAACTGCAGCTTCAAAAGTCATGAAAGGTCGGGGTGAAGCTTTATTTTATAGGGTGATATGCAAGGTATTATTTATCTTCTCCTATTAAACTTTGTAAGTCATATGTTGTTTTTGTCTGCATTTCCTCTATTTCTTTATCTATTGATCTCGTTTGAGGATGAATTTCAAAATATCCTAAGGTGAAAGGTCTTTCATAAATGTTCTCTCTCGTATGGTGTTATAATCTGATTCTCTCCATCTTTTTATCTTTTGAGCTTATTTGATATTTCTCAGTAAGTGCATCCTGATTTTTTTTTAATATAGGATAATGGAAAGGGAATGCCACATGATGACATCCCAAATATGTTCGGACGAGGTTTGTAATTTTACTTGCTAACTCAAGTCTCTGTCCAAATTTGATGCCACCTGGAACTGAGCATTTTTTTGACAACAGATGAATTATTAACATCTTTTAAGATTTCCCGGGTTGATATTTATGTTATTATTCAGGCAGTTCTGTCAGGAACAAAGTATGGCTTGAAACAGACAGATGAGTTATTAATAACTTTTAAGATTCTCAGGGTTGATATTCATCTTATTATTCATGCAGTTCTGTCAGGAACAAAGTATGGCTTAAAGCAGACACGGGGAAAATTTGGTCTTGGTGCAAAGATGGTAATACTTCCAACATTCATGTCTCTTTCCTAATTTTTGTTTTTCAATCATATGGTCTTTAATTGACAACATTGTACTAAAATTCAGCACAGTTGTATCATCATGATACAACCCATATTAAAAGTAGAGCCATCACCGTAACACATCTTAGAATTCATTAACATATATATTGTCCCACCATTTCAGACTCTGCATATTTGTCAAGCACGATGCTACTATTGCTGTTGTATAATGATTCATGATTTTTTTTGTTAAAAAAGTTTCTTAACTATGTCATGGAATAAGGCATGCAGTTTACATGGTTAATGTTCCAATTCAGAAATACAAAGCTTATGATACCGCAGATATTTATTGGTTTACATGTCTTTATTGGTTGATCTGTTTGTCATCCTTCTCTACTTGCGAATTGTGGTATCAACTGATGGTGATTACTTAAATTTATTTTTGTACAGGCACTAATCTGGTCAAAAATGAGTACAGGGTTTCCAATAGAGATATCTTCTTCAATGAAGAGGCAGAACTATATTTCTTTCTGCAGACTGGATATAGATATTCATAGGTATGTTCTGAATATAGGAAATATCACAAATGTTAATTTTATGGTTGTCATAGGAAGCTGGAAATGTACCCAATTCATGTATGCTAGCCTTTTTGTGGGTATACTTGTGTTGGTCATAATTTTGATGGCTTATTTAAAACTTTCAGGAATATTCCTCACATTCATTTGCATGAAAAACGAGACAACAAGGAGAAGTGGCATGGAGCTGGAATTCAAGTAGTCATTGAGGGAAACTGGACAACTTATCGTGTGTGATATCCAATGGCTTTTTTCTCTTAGTTTATTTGTTTTCGAATTTGTTCAAGCTATTCAAATTATGGAAGTGCATCATGGTCATGATGGGTCTTACCAAAAGAAAAAGAGAAAATCATGGTCATGATGAGAAGTGCATTGACTAATGGCTTCTGTTGGTACATGCAGTCCAAAATATTGCATTACATGCGACAGATGGCTGTTATCACTCCGTATGCTCAATTTCTGTTTAGATTTGTATCAGATGCACCGGAGTATGCTCTCATCCTCTTGCTTAACTTGCCAACTGACCATCAACTGATACAGTTACCATTATCTATATTTATGTTTTATTCTCCTTGTAGTAAAAACATCACCATAAGTTTTGCACGGAGAACGGATGTAATGCCTCCAGTTCCTGCTGAGACAAAGCACCATCCGTCATCTGTTGACTTATTACTAATAAAACGCTTGATTGAAGAAACTTCAAAGCAGAATCTTTTGCAGTTTCTTCAGCATGAATTTATAAAGATAAGAAAGTCATATGCTGAGCGATTAATTGGTAAGGATTTGCTTCCAAGTTCCAAACACATTTCAAATCTGCATCCAAAACTCCTACCTTACTAGTTTACCATCTTGGTAATGTTTACAGTTGCATCATATTCAAGATTATTTAGAAGAACTTGTGATTGTCGAGAACCTGATTTGTTGTATGAAATCATTGACTTAAAGTGGATAATGGTAACATCCTTAGAGAGTAGCCATGCTGTCAGGTTTATCATAAAAAAAATTATGTTAAGTAAATATGAACCATTACATATCTGCATTTTGCCTTCAAAATCTGGAGGTTTAACTTGTTTCCCATTCTTAACATACACAACTTGTTGGATTTCTGCATTTTGCTAAAAAAATTATTTGTGTTGATTTGTTTGTCAAACATTAACATTCTAAATAAAATTAAACTATATGTTATTAGACCTTTCCAAAAACAGATGTTGTCAAGTTGTTTTGCCAGTCATAACTATTAAGTTGATCCCTTTTATGATTGTGCTTTCTTTCTCTTTCTCAATTAATTTTGTCTGTCAATGCCTTCAGGAGAAATGGGACCAGAGTTTAATCCAAAAATGTCTGTTAAGGCTCTAAGTTCCCGGCAAATAGTACGCATCCATCAATTGTTTCGCCAAGCTAAATTTGATGACCCCAATGGTGATGTAAGTTACTTGTGGTTTATAATTTTTATTTACATCGTTTCTATATAAATCATGATAGTGTATTTTATTTTCAACACAGTTATGTTTTCCTTTTCTTCTCTAGTGTCTTAGTCCTGCAGGTGAATACAATCTTCGTCTAGGAATTATAAAGGAGCTGCATCCAGACATGGTTGCAACTTACTCAGGCAGGTTGTGTTTGAATTCTAGGAAGCTGTTTTGGATATAAATTTGTTGGATACTTAAAACGCAACTTGAAGTAAACTGTTATTATCAAAATTTTTGCACCTTGCTTGTTCTCAATTTGCACCTTGCTGATTACTAGCTTTTTCCTTCAATTGTGATAAGTTTTTCCTCTGCCACCTCACACAGTGCTCAAGTTTTTGAAGGACACCCATTCATTGTCGAAGCTGGTGTAAGTGTGGGTGGAAAAGACGTTAAGCAAGTAAGTGGTTATAATCATTCAATCATTTTGTTTCCTTTGTGCATGGTTTTCTAATACATTTCGTGCTACAAGGGGGTCATGGTTTACTTGCACTTGTGCATGCAAGAAGCACACATACAAATGTCACCACTTATAGATTCCAGATTTTAGGAATTGACTCAAAACGTGAGTCCTTCACTGTTGGTTTCTGGTCTCTTAGGCAGGGCAACAGGGAAGATGGCCCTAAACCTTCATTTCCTTGCTGCTTTGGCCTCTCTCCTCATGCTTGCCTAAATTTTTGTAGGATGGAAAAAATTCATGATTGATATTACCTTCTTTGGATATTTTCTATGCACAATGAAAAAGAACCGTGCCCTTAGGGACAGGACAGGGCTACTTAGGTGCCTATTTATCAAAGTGAAATTAGTAGTCCTAAGTTGGTACTCTTGTTTCTCTAGATGAGTATGGTAAAAATCTAACCATGATGTTGCTTTCCTGTTTTGCCATTTTTCTGTCTCCTTTTTTCCTCCATGAATGAACATCTACAGACTACAGAACAACATTCTATTTTACATTTTCTGACGAGCATACTTACAGAGCAAACTGTTGTAGGGCTTAAATATTTTTCGTTTTGCAAACCGAATACCACTTCTTTTTGAGCAAGGTGGTGATGTTGTTACAAGGACTGCCATGAAGAGAATTAAGTAAGACATTTTGTGTTGCTCCTCACCCCCCCTCCATTTTTGGTGTGAGTAGGAGGTGTAGGTTAAATATTGTTGTCACATTCCTTCTGCGAAAATCTCCAATAGATTTTGAAGAGAGTTCTAAAATCTTGTTCAGTTGGAGTAGTTACAAGATCAACCAGGTGCAAGATAAAGTTGGCGTATTTGTAAGCATTGTGAGCACAAAAATTCCCTTCAAAGGGACCGGAAAAGAATACATTGGAGATGATATCAGTGAGATAGCTACTGCTGTTAAGGTAAATGCGTTTTCTCTTCTGATGCAAATTTTTTCCTGAATATGACTAGTGAGCAACGCCTCTATGTCTTCAGTCTGCAATTCAGCAGTGTTGTATCCAGCTAAAATCCAAAATAGTGAAGAAAATGCAAGCACGTGAGCAGCAGGAGAGGAAACGAAATTTAAGCAAGTAATCCTATTTCAATAATCTATTCTGTTCTATTATACTATAATTTTCTGTTTTTATATGTGTGTCTGTGCTTTCTACCCATCTCCTTTCACTGATATCATTTATCAACTGTCAGGTATATCCCTGACGCTACTGGTGCTGTATATGAGGTTCTAAAAGAAATGGCAAAACTACATGCATCCAAGAAGAGACGATATGAAGGAGAGGCTGCAGATATACTCAGGAAAGTTTCTGGTCAACTGATTACAAGAGAGACACTCCAGGAAAAGCTTGCTCAACATGTTGAACAGGTTAGCCTGCTCAACACGAGCATAAAGTATTTGATTTTTTTTTTCCTCTATGGTTAACTATTTGAAGTGGTTTCCTGGCAATACCATTTTTTTAAGAATTTCCATTTGAAAAAATATGCCATGCTTATTAGAATTTTGAAATGGATGGAGATTGCATTTATGGCTGTTGAGATTGGAGCAGAAAAAGTTCTCTTTGATGTAGACTAGACTAAAGGGATAAATATTTTCTTGGCATTGAGGGGTACGAAAAATATTAAAGGTAATCTATTCATGAAAAATATAATGGTTGTTTAATCCTAATGTTATAAAACTATAATGTTAGTGATGCATATAAATTATAATACAAATTAAATAAGGTATATATTTGTCCTTTTGTAGACATCCAGTAAGATTAGGGTACCTTGTACTCTATATATTGAGAACGAAAAGAACATATTTTTTATCTAATCAGATCTTGTAGAATGATTGCCGTTACTACTGCTTCAGCAGAGTAAATCAAGTTGAAGGGCATCCAAGAATTATATTATACACTTGGAATATATCTCATACTGTAGGTTGAGATACACTGGGCCAGCTGGTTGCCACTTGGTGAAAATTTCAAATGCACACTGGTGAAACAAAACTACATTGATCATATAATTTGCCCAAGTTAGTATATAGACATCTTTTCAATATGACGTGATCTTTAAGGAAATGTTAATTGCTCAAAATAGGTATAGGAAAGGCTTCTTGCAATAGCCTTTTTGCTGTAGCCATTTGGACATGGAATACACTTAAAAGTAGAATTTTATTTTCTTTCAAATCTTTATATCATTTGCTTTCGTTTTTATTCTTATTCTATAAATTTGAAATTTGAGCCAAACTCAAACTTAAACTTAAAGTATTTTCCCTTTTTATTGTTGGACTGTGCATCTTGTTAGAGCCTATCCATTAAGACCGAAGTTTGACAACAGCCTTTATTTGTCAGGAATTGGCAAATTTTTCACTTGTAACTTTCCTTTTCAGGTGGACTATGAGATGGCATTAGAATACGCAACCCAAAGTGGAGTCAGCGAAGAGCCTAGGGAAGATATATACATACAATCGCTAGATTATGGGAAGAGCTTCTTTGATTTATGCAGTCCTGCATTTGTCTTCAGACTCTTTAGCTAAAGAGTTTCTTATATTCTTTCATTTCTTGTTATCCATGCATGGTTCATGTAGGTAGTGTTGTCATACCGATCATTTTAACAATTCATCATGTACCCAATAAAAAAAACTAGATGTTCAAAGTCCTGTATACATCTGTATTATTAAAGAGTGATTGTATGCATTCCTTACAACTAGATTTATCAAGTTTCTGTTTTTAGAGGCCTAGGTGGCCTTTGTTTCTTGACAGAAGCCGGAGCGTACTGAGTTTGGAGAATGAGGAAAAGGTCAATAGAAATGTTTCTTGCCTTTCTTTTTTTCCTAATCTTTTTTTGCTTTCTGAGAATGGTGTTAATGTTGTAGGCCAGTATTTTTGTACTGTTTAATTTTTAGAATAAATTTAATTAATTTATACATTTAATACAAACTAAATTAACTTTGTTTTTCTTTGTATTTCCTAAAAGAAGAAAAAAAAAGAAGACACTTAAATTGAATTGGAGAATAAAATTGAACTAATAATTTTGTTTAAGTTTGTATTTTTATTTATATGCTATGGAGTTAGAATTTATTCAGACATTTTAAAAATTGGAAAGTAAACGCCGTTAATTTGGTGACCGAAATAATGAACCATTTGCTGCAAGATTCCATTAAACTTCCCGTTAGAAGAACTAAGCACGAACTGAAATTCATTTCACAAGCTGAAGCAGAGACTGTTCTCTCCTCCGGAAGAAAGGTAATCAATCAGAGTCTCTCTTAAAATTCCCAACATGTTTTCTTTATTTTCTTTCCATTAAACTTGAAAGAAGAGAAGCCATACTCGTCTCTACGTCCATTAAACTTGAAGGAAGAGAAGGCAAATTTTATCAGTTTCATCTATAAATCCCAGTTATTTGGAATAAGTACTTGAATCGCAGGCCTTGAAACCGTAAAATCATGGCAAATCCTCCCCAGATCGCCATTCTCGGAGCTGGGATTTTCGTCAAGACGCAGTACATTCCGAGGTTATCCGAAATCTCCAATCTTGTCATCCTGAAAGCAATTTGGAGTCGTTCGAAGGTATGCGGTTGTCATCTCGTTTCTGTTTGGTTCCTGGTAAATCCGAAGAATTAGAAACAAGTAATAGGATTTAGTGTACAAGTGTATTTTGTTGATTTATTTTCCCGCTTAAGGAATCGGCTGAAGCCGCGGTTGAGATAGCGCGAAAGCATTTCCCGGGAGTGGAGTGTAAGTGGGGCGATAAGGGTCTCGATGAGATAATCCAGGACGCTTCCATTGTTGGTGTTGCTGTGGTGCTAGCTGGACAGATCATGGTATTTTTCTTTTTCCCCTCCAGAAGCAATTCATTTGTTTATAAGTCGCGCTTGATGTTTGTTATACGTCCGTAGTCGGTATGAAAATGAAGGAGCTGTTCTTATCTCTCCGTTTCTCTTTAACTACTCCTTTTTCTAGTAAATTGGTGTTGATTTGGATTTCTAATGCTGTACATATGCATATCGTGTTGTATACTTGTATTTTGAAGGTTCATTGCAGTTTCAATTAAAAGTTTGATCACTTCAGTTATCTTAAGGGTTGTTCCATCTGCATTTTGAAGAAGAACGCAACTGAGAAAATTTGTGAATCCTTTGGGTATTATTTGCTTTATTGTTTAGATAATTGAAAGCATATGGCTCTATATAAGTTTACTCTGTGTTTTTTATGGGAATACAAGGTCAGAAAATAAATTTCTCTAGAAATCCTAGCCTTTTAAGATAAGACGCAAATTGGAAATTTTTTTCATTTACTTTTAGAGCAAATAGTGCACGATCAAATTGAAAATGTCAAAAATGAGAACAAGGGACAAATGATCTTAATGGAGTATTTGAAGGTTCTGCATATGAAACATATCTACCTGAAACCAGTGCTTATATAAATAAATCTGCGTGCATGTTTTTGTGTGTTGATAAGTTGGACTCCTCATCAATGACCAATTTTTAGATGCATATTTGGATTGCTAATCAGAAAAAAAAGACCAAGGGATCTTTGAACTATCAATTACTCCTCATGTATGTGATTATGCATACACAAGTTTTTGTGTATGTGTCTATGTATTAAAAATATTCATTTCATGGAAGGATCTATGGCTAAACCTTGGAGTCAAACACCTACTTTTCTGTTTAGTCTAAGGGTAAATCATTCTGCCTAAATCTTAAAATTTATCCCCTCCTGTAGATTGTGCTTCAATGATTTTAAACAAAAAGATTTTTATTTTTTAAAAAAATAAATTTCTAAGTCTTGAATTGTTAAATCTATTTCCTTTATTAGTGAAACCCTCTCCACCTCTTTCTTTTATGCTTTCTTCACTTTTTTTTTCTAGAACACTGCCTAATTTGTTATTAAAGATTATGCTCTAACATGTTGTGAGTAGGTACTATCACTTACAAGAACCATCAATGCAGGTTGATATGTCACTTAAAATGCTAAAGGCAGGCAAGCATGTTCTTCAAGGTAATCTCAATTTTGATACTAACCTTGAAACTGAGATGAAGCATATCCACATACGGCACTCTTTTTTTTTTTTTTCTTCTAGAACAATAAAGGAATGAAATCAAGGGCAGAGAATGTGAATGCCATATCATTGGCATATATATTTGATATTCTGAATCTTTAAATTTTTTAGTGAAGATAGAAAAATTTTACATTTCATGGTTCTCTTTGCAACATCTAAAATTTTTCTTTTGTTTGGACATATCAAATATGTTGCTTGGCCAACTTGGTGGATCTGAAGAGAAACCAGCGGCAGCTTGTAAGTTGCTTAACATAATGTTATTTAAATCCTTGCTGTCCAGAATTCATACTAGAAGTTAACTTGTGAACATGCTGGAAGTTTAGTTTTCTGTTGATCGTTCTTGATTGAGGATACTATGGTTTCTCCTGCATCCTTTTGCCTTTTAAAATTGTTAGATTTTATATTTACAATTGAATGTCATTGTCAGCTTATTGAAAATGCAGGCCAAACTATTTCCCTAGTCTACCTCAACAACTTGGAAGAGGTACTAAGGATGAGAAAAATTTGTACAGTAAGGAAAAGAGATTTAGTAGATAACCCCAGAAAATATAATCTGAGAAATCGTTTCTTGCATTATTTTGAAACAAAAGCAGGCATCCCATCCCAAGTTTCTTATCGAAATAAACATCAAACTGAAACTGAGGGTCTAATAATATGATAGACCTCCCACATGGAACGGAAATTTATTTCTTCCATTACAAGTAGGATTACAATATTTTTAGCTATAAAACCATAGCAATAACTTAGATAACAACATATTCTTTGGGGCTTCCATTTATTTAGAAAGTGATAATAAATTGGCCTATGAATTGCATAGAACCAATACATACTAAGTTGTATTCTCAATCTTGATGAAACTGAAGTCTACCATTTAATCCAACAGTGTTTCACAATCAGCACAAAGGTGAGAGCCCAGTGGTCAGGAATTCCTGCCATGTGGTCATGGCTTCAAAGCTCCTTGTGATAGTCAGTGAACTGGACAATCTCTATAGGGAGAGAACTTGTCTGTCGTGCATCTCAGTGGGCCTGCATTACTGTAATCGTGAGCTAATTTTTCATATAGTAGTTGTAGGTCAAACTAAACTGCAAGTGGACCCCTTATGATTTTGCTCAAGCCATAGTAGTTGTAGGTCACACTAAACTGCAAGTGGACCTCTTGTGATTTTGCTCAAGCTATATTTGTATGTTGGTTGTCCTTCTCATCATTTTACCAAAAAATGAAAAAATATATTTTCTGCCTATTTTATGTGTTTATCATCTTATCTTACCAGGATTCTACTTTAATCACTACAAATTTATGCTTTTCCCTAAAGAAATACTAGGAATTTGAAAATATTTTGTATCTTTTCTTCATTCTTATTTTCAAATTATTATTATGCTCTGTAAAGCAGGTTATTACAACTAATTGACATCTAAGTTGGAAGTTCTTTTGGAATTTATTTAGTACAAGTAAGGAAGTGAGTTTTACTAAGTGCAAATAGTTCAACACTGCAGCCATAAACGAGGTAGAAACTGCTCTATCAAGCTACAGAGCAATTTGTGCCAATGCCACTTGCAAACCAATTTGGGCTGTTGCAGAAAACTATCGATTTGAACCTGCATTTGTAGAGGTACGTATATTTGGCATTAGAAACTTGATTCAATTACATTTCACTAGAAGCTCATTGGTGCTTTTGCAGTGCAAGAAATTAATGACTGAAATTGGGGATATGATGAATGTCCAACTTGTCATTGAGGGATCAATGAACAGTTCAAACCCTTATTTCTCAAGCTCCTGGAGGCGAAATTTTACTGTATGTATACTGTTGCAATTTATATCACTTTTTTCCCTCATACATCCATTAATTGGTAAATAAAGTCTGTATCAGTTCTTTCTCTACGTGCTACTTTTAAAATGATACCTTAAAATGGATTCTTGATGTATGTATATGAAATCACGTAAAAAATATTTGTGGAGACTAGTCAAGACTTTGGTTCTGCAATTCAAAGTTCTGGGGACTTCAAATTTCTTATTAAGTTCTCTCTTTACTTTTAGAAAGATATTTCGCTTATCTTTTTTTTTTATATCAAAAGAGAGATCTTTCTCGTATCTTTATCATTGTTTGTTAAACAGCCATTTTATGTCCACTGCTGACACGTGTATCTTTTTTGTTTGGCAGGGTGGTTTCATTTTGGATATGGGGGTGCATTTCATTGCGGGATTGAGAATGGTAATCTCTTCTGCAACTCTTGATAACTAATGAACTGCTTTCTGGTTTGCCTTAGATGCCAAAGTGTCTTCTCCATGTTTTTCATGGAAGATCCTTTTCCTGGACATGCTGCCGGAGTCGTAAAATATTCATTATCCCAATTGTCTCCAAGACCACATTTTGGTGTGAAAAAGAACAACATATATGCTTTATCTGTAGTACTTGCCTTCTTTCCCAAGCCTCCTACTTTATCCCGTGAAGAAAAAAAAAACTCAGTTACTTGGTCAGTGTAGCTACAATAGGAAACTAGTACGAGTGATTTTTCATTAAAGGTTCCTCTCTCCCTTGTGTGGTCTTGGAGGCTTTCTCCACGTGTTTATAGGCACATGTTCAGATGGTTACTCAATTCTCTGTCATAACCATTTTATGTTTTCATTTCAAGAAATTGCCCAATCAGCTTAGGCTTCTAAATTCCAATGAACTAATGTCAGTAGTACTAAGATCCTAACAAAAAGACTTTTAACTGAATTACCGATTAAACTAAATAATAAACAGCTGCTTCACTCGGTCTGCTCCTTTGCGGCATTTACTGTAGTTATGATTGTCAGAGGGAAAGGCCTTGTTGCATAGCAGATATAGCTAGATTTAGCATTAACTGTGATGAGTTACCAACTAGTGTCTTGAATTAAAGCCCGAAAAGGGCAAATGGTTATGCTGAGATAGTGAGATGTCATGCAATTGATGGCACTGTGCTGATGTGAAATTATGTTCTGGTTCTTCATCATGTTTTATTCTCAATCAACTCCTTCCCCTTCTACCAGCCATATGAGAAATTATAGCTGCTATTAAAGAGAAAAAAGTGGTGCTGAATTGTATTTTCCAGACTTCTTTTCTTGATCTTCTATTGTCAGTTGTCGTTTTCGAGTTTAAGTTATAGCACTTAGGTAAACTCATATATGCCTTGTAGTAGTTTGTCTCATTATCAGATTATCTGTAATTGAAATTTTGTAAGCATGATAAGTTTGAGTAGTCTTCCTTCGAGGAAAGTCGTCAATCCAGAATGTGATTTTTCCTCCTCTTGCAAACAGCTTGTTGGAGAGGTGCTCTCAGTCTCAGCGATGACCTCTCATGCGGATACAACTTTACCGCCCCCAGATAATATAACCTCTAATTTGTAAGTAATCTGCTGATAAGTTAATCTTTTGATATGTTTTTTTCTTCCTAAACAACTTCGTATTTACATTCTTGGAATTTCCTTGCCTCAGCCAACTGGAAAATGGATGTTCTGGAGTTTTTGTGATGGCTGTGTCCTCTAGATCACCCAAGGCATGTGGTAAAAAGAGCAATTTCCTTTTAATATTATGCATGCAAGGCATGTGGTATATAGAGTGATTTTCTTTTAACATTATGCATGTTTTATTTTTCTTTTGCTTAAAAGTGTTTGATGGGTTTAGATATTTTGGAGAATCGTTGGCTTGAAGGGAACACTGCAAATTGAGCGTGGAAGTCAAGATGGAAAACATGGTTACCAGGTATATTATATTACATGGTTATTTTGTTTTCCTGTAAGACATAGGCTTTATTCTGGATTAATTTCCCAGAAATCTGAGACATTTTTTTTATATTTTCCAATGTTGTGCCATGCCAGGCTTTCCTATACGGTGTTAATGAGCAAACAAAAAGCTTCTTTTATCCATTCAGTGGAGTGACGGAGGAGCTGAAAACATTTATACATGACATATCACAAGCTAGCCTTAAGGTAATAAAGATGCTAATATGCATGTTTAGCACTAATATATGCATGATGCTATTTGCTTTTTTTGGAGTCAATGTGCTGGGCTTACTGGGTATAGAACTTGTATTCTATTGAAGGTTAGCATGTGACTTGTCCCTATAAAACAAATTATTACAACAATCTTGACAACCTCAGCAGTAGTTTAGCCAATACCCAAGTCTAGCTGTCAAAACCAAGCTCTTTAATGTGATAATTGGGAAGTCTCACTAGAGCATCCGAAGTCGAGCATTTAAGACCCCCATTTAGTTGTAAGAAGCTGTTTTAAAATTTTATTTTTCTAAGTTCATTCATGTTCCTACACTTAAGTGTATGGTATTTGTTAAAAATGAGAAAAACATTTGAAAAATGATAATCAAAGTATAACTTGAGTAAAAATAATCTCATCTCCAAACTCAAGTCATATTTTCATCATCGTTTTTGGAATCTTGTTCCATTTCAACAATCATAAATATCTGGGTATATATATATATATATATATATTTGAATTTACAAAGTCAAAATTTACTAAATGAGGTCTTTAACATCTTCCTCTCTTGTCTTCATTTTTCTTTCATGTGAATTTTACCCACTAAACACCTCCATCTTATCCACCGACTCGTTGCAGCAGGGAAATGTTGACTACGAAGCAGAACCTCGTATCTCTTATTTGGAAGGTGCCAGAGACGTTGCTGTTCTAGATGCAATGCTCGAATCTGCAGCAAAGCAAGGAGCCCTAGTTCCTGTGAGAAAGTTCTGAACAAATGGTAGGCAACCTCACTTTTTAAGTATGATTGTATCAACTACAGAAATGATTGAGATGAACTACCGTATTGATTTTGTTCAGCAAACCTGTGGAGAGGCAAAAAAGAAAAAGGACCTAACAGTTTCACTTTACCTTCCATGTAATACTACATTTTTTCTGTGACAAAGATGGGAGGCATCCAAATTAATAAAGGGTATTCATTATCCAGACTATTGACCCATATCCAGTCTCAATCTTCCAACTTGGAAGACCATGGCGGAGAAATTTGGAGTCCGTCCACGTTGAATGGGGGGGGCCCTCAACATACGTAAACATTCAATTTTGAGACTGACGTCTGAGTGATCTTTAAAAAAACAAAAAGCCGTGCTGTGTAATTATGCATAAACAAATATTTCCAAATAATTACAAAAATAAATTGTAGTATTTAAATAAATTCCTAAATTAATCTCTTCGTCTGTAAAGCACCAGTAATTTTGTTCCACGTCAGAAATATTCACGCACCTTCGGAGTTGTACGTGCAAGTCTGCAAACCGGTGTCGTTTCGAAGAAAAAAAAAATTTGTCACTGCAGCCTACGGCTATGTGCCACGTTGCACGTAAGCGGTAAAGGGTGTTGACTATTCGTTTAATCTGATGTAATATTCTAGAACTGGGCGCACGGAATCATACTCCTTTGTCTTTTACACAGTTATAAAGTGGTTACCAGTACAGTTGAGCTGGACCACACAACAATTATAGGGCCGTACACTGTGTATTCGCACATTTATTTTCACTTGTTCGTGATATTTCGCGTACACGATATACTCGTGATATTATGTGTGTATTTTTATTTTATTTATGATTTTTAATGGCGTCTGGTATAAATCTTATTTTTTAAATTAAAATTTATTTTTAGGGAAGACATAATATAATAACTCGTGAGTTAGTAAATTTTTTATTTTAATAGTTTAGATAAATTAATGAATATTTAATAATAAAGTGAAAGCCTAATATTAACGAAACGTGGGTGGCGGTCGCACTCTCGTGGACCCCAGACGTGCCCCCTCGAATAATGACGATAAGGAAAGCAAATGTCACGAGAAAATCAAGAAGATAAAAAGGCAAATTTCTCGTCTTCCGAGAAAACAAAACTTGAAAGACCAACCAAACCAAACCAAACCAAACCAAACCAAACCAGACCAGACCAAACAAACGAACAGACCGTCGTCTGCTTATCGCACGTGTCAAAACAGACCACAGTCTTCGCACGTGTCTCATGGTTTCCTGCGTCAACTGTCCAGTTTTTAATATATTTAATAGTATAATCTCTCCTGTTTACCAAATAAAATTTGCAGCTTTTCGTCTTAAAAAAATTAAATTTTGAACTTAATCTTTAAATTAACCTTTTTTGAAAAATCCTGATTTTTTGAATTTCATTTTAATTGAACTTTTAGAAATATATACTTTACCAAAGTTTGTTTCTAAAAAAAAAAAATTTATACTTTTCAATTATAAAAAGAAAAAAATAGGGTAATAAAGGGTTTCAAAAGAAAGGAAAAGAGCTTGGTGGGTTTTTTCTCTGTCCTAATATATGTTTAAAAAACTATTTTAGTGACATTTTTTTAAATTATAGTTGAATATAAGTGGAAAAAATAAAGGAAAAAGATAAATACATATACATATACATATATTGGTAAACTCAGTGGGTTCTCCCTGTCCTTTAGTAGATAGATTCAATGAGTCCTGCCCTTAAACAGATCTCACCTCTTCACATGTGATCAGTTTCTATTTAGTTCACTCTTCAGCAACCCTTTGCTTCACTGTATATTTCACTATATTTTCTTTTTAAGAAAAGGAAAAAAAAAAATTATTCATTTTCCATTGCTGAACCTTGAAGAAAGCAGCTTAGTCTTCAGCTGGGTTTGTTAGGTAAGCTCAACTCTTTATTATCTTGAAAAAGAAAATGCCAATGTAGAGTAGTTGAAACTTGACAATGTGCTTTATTTTACTCCTGTAATCCTTTTTCGGAAGGTAAGCTAGCTTTGAAAAGTGAAGCTTACTTCTCTGGTTTGATTTAGTGGGTTCTTCCTTTTTTAAAAAAAAATAATTAATTTCTAATGTGGATCTGTTTGTTTTTGGTATATTCTTCCTGCGTATTTTTTGTAATGCTGTATTCTTTGTTCTACTTAGATTTTTTGGGGGGTCTTTTCCCTCTTTCTTTTGGGGTTAAATTTTCTTTTCCACCAAACAGAATTAATGCCGACCCAGCTGAGGTTGCTGGGAAAGTTGGATAACTATTACTGTCATTATTGTTAATTATATCATAGAGAAAAAGTGTCATTTTCTTGTTTTTTCTCCTTCGTTCCCCATTTTCTTGATTTATCAAGTCAAGTTTATTAGCTGTAATTGTTAGTTTTCTTACTCAATGGTTTTTTTTCTTTGATTTTGCAGGTCTCTGTACTTTCTTATCAAGAGCTTCGAATTCGATCAAGCTTCCTTTTGGTACTCGAACTGTTTATGAGAGCAAATTGATAGTCCTTGAAGCTTTTTTCCTTTTTCCTTTCTCATTTTTAGCTCATTTTTGTTCTTTTTTCACTAAATATAAAAAATTTGAAGTCTGGAAATCGAAGCTGTATTGGGTTTAGCCTGTTCATTTTTCAGCTCCTTGTGTTTGGAAATTAGTCTTGAAATCTCAAGAGTTAGGTTGCCGATCTTAGTCTTCCACAGCTCATTGGAGCCAAACACTGTCTAAAGTTTCAATTTTTAATTTTTCTGTTCCAAAATTATCGAGTGCTCTTTGTTTTGATCTTCTGGTTATTAGTGTCAATTTAGAAACAAAATGCAGAAGCCTCCTCAAAATGTAGACTTTGCTCTAAAGGAGACCTCGCCCAAGATTGGCGCAGGAGCTGTAACAGGGGATAAGCTCTCCTGCACCTATGATCTTGTTGAGCAAATGCAGTATCTCTATGTTCGAGTTGTTAAGGCAAGAGATTTACCCCCAAAAGATGTTACTGGTAGCTGTGATCCATATGTTGAAGTAAAGCTTGGAAACTATAAGGGAACCACAAGACATTTTGAGAAGAAGACCAATCCTGAGTGGAATCAGGTTTTTGCTTTCTCAAAAGACCGAATTCAAGCTTCGATTTTGGAAGTGGTTGTGAAAGATAACGATGTTGTTCTTGATGATTTTATTGGGAGGGTATTGTTTG